TGAGCCCACACATCGAAGAGCTTAGCATTGCAGAGCTGGCAGTAGTAGCCGTCGCATCTTCTGACCACCGACTCCGGCAAGGCAGCATATGGGACCTCAACCCGGGAATCTTCTTGGCGGCCGCGGTCGACTCCCAACCCTCCTCAGCAGGGCCGTGCCAAACCAGGGGATACACGTGATTGAAGAACTGACCACGCCCACCAACCTCAGACAGTCGGCGTTTCTTAACAAGACCTTCCAACGCCCTCAGAGGTATAATCACTAAAGGCTCTTCTACCTTCGTACTCTGCTGGGACGACCCTCGTCCCTACGACAGGACCGCTGCACTAGGCAAGGGCGATCTCTTCTTACTGCTGCCGGGCCCTTCGCCATCCCCTTGAGGGTCTGTATGACCTTGAGACTCGATTCCAGCTGACCCCGACTACATTGCTTTCGATGCCTATGGGTACCGAGCGGACTACCACCAACAGCCGTAGAGTCTCCCCAGGTACTTCTTCCCTATTAAATGGTCACTGAGGCCCCTCACGCCCATCGGCCCGCTCTGGCACAGTTTACAGCCAAAGTTACTCCCCTTCATTGAAATAAAATCGGGCATGAAATTGAAGGGCTCATATGAGGCTGAGCTGACAGTCTGAACAGAGAGCATCAGACAAAGCTCCTGGGCAGGCAGATGACCTCAACTTTCGCTGGGTTGGAGGCCCTCGGGGTCACTGTAGATGCTTCATCGGTGGGAGGCAACGCCGCCATCGCCCCCTTGTGTTTGGCAGAGGCAAGGTGACCAAGCATTATCCCATACTTGTCACACTTCTTATCACACAGTCGACAGTACAGCCAGCCAGCCCTCACACCTGCCGGTGGGAGGTAAAGGACGAGCATGGCACTCCTCGGGGCCACCTACCCGAGCCATAGTCCCGACCATTGGAGACCACTACGCAGTTCTGGCTGAGGACCCCAAGCTGGTCCACCGTCAAAGTGCCTAGGCCGGGAGGAGCCGGAAGAAGGCCCGTCTCCATCTTGGGATGCCTTCGAGGCTCGCTGAAACCCGGATCGGCTCCAGGGTGACCGGCCTGCTGACCTGACAGGAAGGGGTATCGCCGTTATAGAGGAACCCCAGCCCACCCCATGTCCGTGACTGCTGCCAAGCAGAGGAAGCAGGCGACTGGCTGCCATCTGTACTCTCCCCATCCTCTTCCTTCACGTGCCCGACACTCCAGCCACTCGCTATCATAGCGAAAAAGGGCGGAAGAGGGCGAGCCTATTCGCTACCCTGTACCACCACACTGAAGTCGAACACTTCATTAGTGATAGAAACCTTCAACACCTTCACAATACATGGTAAACGACTTAGTGTCTTCGCCGACTGTCCCGACAGAGACGATAACTGCGAAGATCAGTGGCTTCTCTAGCTCCTATGACCATCTACCCACCCAGGGGGCAGCAGACGACCGTTAGGAGCATACAAGAGCCTCTCCACCCTACAATATGGGACCATCTCATCAACGACAGGTTCAGGCGGAGGTGGTACGGCAGCAGAGCGGCCGACTCAGAGGAGGGGGAGAATGCCTAACCATCCACCCCTAAGCGACCCTCCGCCTTTTCAAACCTACGCTCTCTTGTGTGACTGGTGACTAGCGACCATTAGCAGCCACGATGACCTGGAGCCTCCAAGCCTCTCGTTCCAGTGCTACCTTGTGCCTGCATGAGCCCCATACTCCCCTCTCAGCCAGTGTTGGGATATATGTGCGTATTTTCCCACACTGCTCTCAGCTGTAACAGAGGCCCACTCCTGGCCATTGAGATGCGCTTCCACACACCACGACGTCGGGTTCTTATAATCCTTGGAAACTCCGGATTGTCCACCACAGGGGGCTTGCCTACTCCTGGGGGCCCTAGCAGCAGTAACAGTAGCCCTTCAAGTCGCTTACCCCTCCCACCACTCTGCCCAAGAATCCATCATCTGATCCAGGGCATGACCAGCCTTGCGTGCCTGTCCCTCCCCCTGGTCAGTCCAGACCTTCCCCCCTCTATGAGCCCCAAAGAGGAACTGCACGTGCGATTGAGAATTTCAATAACAAAACAGCGCAGCGAACAGAACTCCTGGCCCAAGCCCTGTTGTATACTTATCGTAGCAGTAATGGCTCCTTGATCCCACCAAAGGCATAAGCCCTACTATCGCGTAACGCCACAGGGGCTCAAGCCTGTGTACCTGCTATGAGGGTAACGGTCCTACTACCAGAGTATGCCCATCCCATTGGCTGGCAGCTCTATCTCCACAGCCCTCCAGGAAGGCTAGAGCTGCTCACCAGTGAAGAGGCCCATGCTCGGCCCTCAACGAAGCACCCCCGTGTCATGTACATGTGCCTACTGCTGCACACAGGCACTTCCCTGCACCAATCGATTAGGGTTCCTAGGAGATGTCAACATGAGCCCAGAGACTCGTCCTAGTGGTGTGCAGCATCATGCGCAGTAGCCTTGAAGGCTGTTAGTTGGGTGTTTCGATGAGTATCCAACTACTCCACTCTACTACCGTCACGCGCCCCAAAAGTACTATCGTGAAT